CAGTGGTTATTGAATGCATTTAACCTCCCGTCTCATCAATAATATATAAACAACTTTTTTTGGGAATGACTATAGTCCTGTTGATGGGATGGTTCCGTCAGTGTTTGTTACCGTAGATTATCTACACGACATAATCAATATGATCAAACAGTAAAACACGCCGACTGAGACTTTAGCATTTTCCATTTTTTTGATGTCAAAGTTATGTCCTTGTAGAAAAGAGTTACATTTATTGACACAATGAAAGTAGACAAGAATCTGGATGAAGATCGGAGTTTGTCAAATGAACAATGATGACATGGAATTTATTTACAAATTTCAAAAAAATTACGAATTAAACATTATTTATATAGACACTTTAAAGTACTAGTAAAGTGCACATAATTTATATTTTAATATGATTTTAAATTATATTAATAATTATATATCAAATAAATAAACAACATTTTGAAATTTTAAAAAATTTAAAATAATATAAATATATCATGACAAAGCAAAGTACGTAATAAATAAATATTATATAATGTTTTAATTATTTAAATATTAATTGCAAAACTTTATTTAAAATTTATTTGAAATTTTAAAAACTTTAAAATAATATATTAATATATAAAGAGGCAATTTTATTTACTTCAAATCTATATATATATAATAAGAATTAACATTTACCAAAAATAGTAGCAAAAAAATAGGTCAAAATTTAATGCAGCCTATAAATAGTAAGTTTCATTATTTTTCTTATTTTTTTTTTAAAAAAATCATACAGCATTAAATGCTACCTTAAATTTTGAGCTTTAGTTCATTTTATTATTCAAAAAATCCGGCAAAGATTTATTAAGTGTATAAGTTTTTATTTTTATTTTTTTCTTAGAAACAACGAAAAACATTAAAATCTCAATTCAAAATATAACAAAAACTTTAAAATCTCAGTCTTTATATTTGTGCCTTTAAAAAAAATATTGAACGCTAAAAATATTCTTTAAATTGTATAATCAATCAATTAATCTTAATTTTTTAAAAATTACTATGTTTATTTTGTATTAATATGCATAAAGTAAAAATAATATATTCATCTTTAGATATATAATTTATAATCTTAATATATTTTCATTTGGTGTAGACATTTATTATATGAATCATAAAATATTTTTATTTCATAAAATTTAAAATATGTAAAGAAAATAAGAAAATTTCTTCGGATCAATCGGGTGATTGAACTAGGGTACTGCCCAGGTTGATTGAATTACTTTTAGGTGATATTTAAAATAGTCAAAAAAACTTGACACAACTTGGTTGGTCCCAGGTGACTTAAGTTATGTATTTGTTCGACCACACAAAATCGATTATTGAACCTAAATTTAAATTTTATATTAAAAATATTTTATTACGTGAATGTGATGTAGTCCAAACCTCAAATAATCGTATTAACAATACTTTATTACAACATGTTTAATGATTTATGAATATTTAGATATCATTTTATTAATATTTATGTGAATTAAATAATATTTTATTAAAATATTTATCAATATACAATAAATATAAGGTTTTCAGAACTGGACCATCATCGAAACGATCAACTTATTTTATTAAATCACTTGTGGTTTGTTCATATTTTAATTTATAAATATTTTAATATATATATATAGTACTTTTCGTAATAAATTTAAATAAAATGTGTTACTTAGATATCTAAATAATTTATAAATTCAAATGTTTAAAGTAATTGATAAATAATTTATAAATCTCTATTTTATTTAAATATGTAATTTTATTTAAAATAATTTTAAATATAACAAAATTTATTTAGAAAATCGATCCTACCAGTCCAACCGACTGGTGTTGACGGATTCGAGAGCAAATATTTTATTCAAGCGAACTAGACTGGTTATAAACCGGTTCTCGGTCTATCCGGTCGGACTGTGTCCAACCCGGTTTAATTTAAAAACAATGAATAAATCATAATTAATATTATTTATATATTTAATTTATAATACAATCGTAATATTGTTTTCCCGTGCATCGCACGGGCCACGCACTAGTAGTAACTAAAAATCAGTACAAAAATATTTGGTTTCCCGCCAAAGAATTCAGATTTACTAAATTGGGTAATTTTTTTTACCAAAATTTAAAAAATCCCGCCTAAATTAATGTAATTAATGTACATAATCATTTTGGTCAACTATTGTGGCTATTACCTTTATTAGTTGTATGATTTAAATTTAGAATATAATATATTGACAAAACTTGCATCTTACATTTATTAGTTGCATTGTTTAAATTTGGTATATAATATGTTAAAAAATAAAAAGATTTTTATTTAAAATTAATAATCAAAAAATAATTATTCATAACTTACGGGCTAGTATTAACTTGGAAGTAATGAAATAGTCAATTATTTATAATTTAATAAATTACTCAATAACTTACGGGTCAGTATTAACTTGGACGTAAACAAAATAGTCGATTATTTATAGTTTAATAAATTACTCAACTACTAAATTGTTTTTATTTGAATAGTTTATACAAAAGTAAATTATTTTAAGCAATGAAACAATATAAATTTTATATTTATACTTATTATTCATTTAGGTTGTTAAATATATGATAAAATTTTATCAAAATAATTATTTTACGGAATCACATTATAGTGAAATCAAATTTTTGAATATTTTTTTTAAAACGAATATAATGTAATTTATTAACAGTTATGTGCGCCGCACGGGTTTCTACTAGAAATTGGTGCATTAGTAACCAAAATTTGCAACAAAATTTTAGTAGTTACAATAGTAACAAAGATTTAGATATGGAATATACTTTCAGAAACGGAATGTATTTTAAAAAATTGTATTTGTATTAGTAAATTTCTTATCATAACCATTGAATTGTAAATATATTTTAAAAGTTAATAACTTTTGGATTTTTTATCAGCTTTTTTACATATATAATATATCAAATTAATCATCTCTTGATGAGCTTCGAAATTCCATATTATATGTATAAAAAAATAAATTATATTTATCTTTATAGCAATAATAAAATTATTTTTAATATTAATTAGAAATATAAAATTATTTATCAATTAATATATTTATATATGAAGTAGTTATAAGATATAAGTTATAAAAATTACTATAATATAATGCATGTAAGTCGCACAGTACCAAGTGTCATTCTAAAATATGAAATAATATATATTTTTTGTGAAAAAGTAAATAAAATTTAAAATATTTTTTTTCTCATTAATTTTAAAATTCAAAAATAAATTTTTTAACAAGTGTAATACACGGGTGTTGTACTAATTTATTTTTTAATTGCAAAACGTGCATACCTATATTAGTATAGGATTAACTTTTACAAATTATATTTTATTTTAGTTTATTTTCCTACAAACCGTGCATACCAATTACTAAAAGGATTAACTTTTTCATAACTTCAAGAGTGATATTGCAATATCAATATTAGTGTTCTAAAAGTCGCTAGGCGCTCGACCAGCGCCTAGAGCGTCTAGGCGGGGCCTAGGCGGCACCTAGTCGGGACCCAGAAATCAATATTAAGTACCTTATTTTTTATTTATTTTAACTACCTACGAAATAAATCTATCTCAACTTATAATAAATTCACACACCAAAGTCTAAATAATAATATTAATATATATTAAAGAAAACATGAAAACAAAATAATGTAATTAGTATTATTTTAAAAATATTTGAAATTACTGAACCGACAAAACTATATTAAAAAATATTTTTATAATGTATTAGTTATTGTCAGCAAAATATATATATACATTATTAAATAAAAATATTAAAATTAAATTACGTATTTATTATACAAATTATAACTTACTTCATTTATTTTGATTAATTCAGTTAACTGACCAAATAAATAAAGTATTTCAGTTTGATTTTAATTTAGTTGGAACAACATTTCAGTGGAATTAGTTTTTCCTATGCAGTGGCAAATATGTGATTTAATTAAATCACATGATTTTTAATATGCAATTTATGCACAATATTGTTGTACACGGTTATTGTACTAGTGTGACATTAAAGGAGATATTAAACTGTCTATCAAATCACTATGTAAATACTCAGGTAACAAAATAGATAAATAAACAAAGGAAAATGATAACACACAATTTTATAAATTAAGTAATTAGTTCGTGAATCAATTATTTATCGAACAACATTAATAAAAAATTAAAAATTTATAAAATTTAAAATAATATAAATATATTAGGACAAATAAATATAATATTAAATACTCCCTTCTATTTTTATTATTTGTCACTCTGGTTTAATTGATCATTGATTAAATAAATGTCGTTTGGCTATTTTGTTCATATTTTTACATTTTTAACCATTCATCTAATACACAGTGTCTCTTCATATACATCTCCATCGTTTTCCGTAACATCTATTAAATAGGGTTAATATTGTTGAGAAAAAAAATCATATTTAGAGTGTTGCTTCTGAAAATGACAAATAATAAAAATAGGAGGGAGTAATACATTATCTTATTAATTTAATTTATAGATTATAGACTAGAACATATACTAGGATTAACTTGCAAATACTTCACACTTAAAAGGTTGATATTGCAATACCGCAATATAGAGGAAATATTTATTGATTTATTTATTTTATATTTTCACTTATTCACGAGCAAAACTTCGAGCCTAAAATCATATCACTTTAATTGTATATAATTTTTTAATGTGTTGAGTTAAAGTGGCAAACTCCCATACTTTGAGATTTTATATGGCAAAATTTTATGCTTCGCATTTGGTTCGAATATATTTTAATTAACTCCCAATCTAAAATAATAAGGTATATATGGAAATTTTTTCTCCAGTTTTATTTTAAAACTAATACAATACACGTATATTACACGTGTGCTTGTTAAGAAATTTATATTTAAAATTAAAAATAATAAAAAAATATTTTAATCTTCAAATACATTTTCGAATAACTATATTACTATTTATATTTAAAATAACACTCATCACATATAGTCATATACTACTACCCATCTTATATTATAGTAATTTTAAATTATATCATTTGACAACTTTATAGTTAAACTGATTTAAATAATTTTATTTTATTAATTAATATTAATAGGTAATAATATAATTATTTTACTATTTATTTATTTTGTACGTACAATATAGGTGTCAAAATGAAGCTTATCAAAACATGATTAATTCGATATATTATGTATAAAAAAATGATAATAAATAAAATATTATGAACTTTTATCTACTTGTAATTATAATTAGTAATATATTCATAATTTTCAATGAAAGATGAGGAAAAAAAGAAAGAATGAGGAAAAAAAGAAAGATTGAGGAAAAAAAATCTATATATATATAATCTATTACTATATAATACGGAGAAGAAAAATTATTTGAACAATCCGAAAAAAATCATTTCGTTTTTCCGTTTCAATATAGTGTTTTTCCCGCTTCTTCAATTCGTAAAATTCTTTTTTTGAATTTTTTTAGCCCATGCAATTAGGTAACCAATCAAATTGAATCTTTTAGCATTCAATTTGGTAAGGTATTCCGATTTTAGCATTCAAATCTGATTTCACTTCCTTTTTTTATGACAATCAATCCGATTTTTTTGGTTGTTTCAAAATTTGTTTAGATTTATATTTTTATTTTATTACTATATTTGAAAGAGAATCAATAAATGTTTATCATAACTTTTATTTTAAAAATAAATTTTAATTATCATATCTTTTACTTTATATGAAATTTAAAATTACATATTTTAATATATTAATAAACGTTTATTATTTATTTTTTCCTTATGTGATATAATAGAATTTCGGTATTAAATTTGTAAATTCAAACATTTAAATGAAAAGATTCCAAACAATTTTTTTGGGTAAATTTCATTTTATCTTAGTTTTCATTATCACATTTCTAACAAAGTAAGTACTATTATATTTTTTTATCTACATTATCTAACCGATTTTTTATGATACAATTAATATAATATCTTAACAAATTAATCATTTGTCTAACTGGATTTGTCTCTCTAACAAACTTGCCAATTTTTTTAAAATTAAAATGGTATGATTATTCTTATGGAGATACTTATCAATATATTAAATATTTAGAAACTTTTTTTAAAAAATGAGTTATCCCTCCTTTTACTTTATTTGAAATTCTGACTTATATTTTTAAATATATTATTATTTATTTTATTACATGTAAATATTTATTATTTATTATCCAAATGATAAATATTATTGATTTATCTCTTTAATAAATATTTATTATTTATTTTTTTCCTTACGTGATATAATGTAAATCTGGTTACTAGATTTTTAAATTCAAACATTTAAAGGAAAAGACCACGAACAAATTTTTTGGTTACGTTTCATTTTATTTTAACTTTCATATAATCACAATTCTAACAAACTAATTAGTATAATATTTTTTTACCCATTTTTATATAATTGGATTTCTTAAAATATAATTAATATAACATTTTAACTATTTAATCATTTGTATAACTTGATTTAACTCATTATTAAACTTGCCAATTTTATTTTTTTTAAATTAAAAAAAAATTGGAAGATTTTTATTTGTAAAATAATAAAAAATAGCTTTACTTTAAAGTCTGGATTATTTCCATTATTTTTTGTACGTTAACAATCATATATTTTGGATTATTGATTTAAAAAAACAAATCAAAATCGTAAGTTTTAATAATATTCCTTAAATAAAAAATATTGTATAAAGAGAAGTATTTAATAATATATATTTTTCATTGATTGTATTTATTTTATTTTCATAATAGACGAGATGTGAAAAATATAAATGATTATATTTAAAATAAAGTCTAAAAAAATGTTTAAAATATGAACTCTTCTGTGCATCGCACGGGATATACACTAGTTACTAGCATGCACCTAAAATGAAATCATAGGCATAAAATACCATCTAATATCAAATCCTTCAACCAAGAAAAACATATTGAAAAGAGGCTCAAGACATTCAACAAATCTAATATCAAATCCTTCAACCAAGAAAAACATATTGAAAAGAGGCTCAAGACATTCAACAAAGTCAAGGCAAAAAGGCACTTAGATCACACCAATTATACACATAATACTCAATCCCATTTCTCAAGTCCGAACTGCCACATTTTCACAAGGTAAACACATAATACTCAAGAATGAAACCAACTCCAAGCAAACTCAAGAGTTGGTTTAGCCAATATACCTATTGCCGTATAAAAACGAACGAAATCACCGGAAGAATATGTGGCTAGGTTTGCCTCAGTCCGGTGGCCCTCGGCTACTCTCCCGTTCGTCGACGACACTCCCGGCCTGCTCGCAGAAACAGCCCGGCTGCTCGCTGGAGCATTTCGTCGAACCCCTTCACGGTACCTGCTCGCACAAGGACAGTAGGTTCTGAAAGGGGCTGTTGTAACTTGATGCTGCGAAATGGATGGGTGCCGTCACTCTTCCCGCACGGGCCCGCCGCTGTTTCGGGTTTCCCCTCGCACTTACGGGTCGCTCGAAAACAAACCGGCAATGAGCTGTTGCGGATTCTCGCCTCGACGGACGGCTCGACTGAAGGGATGCCGCTGCCGGGACTCCGACTACTACTAACGACTGCAACACTCGTCTGAACAAGGACCACCGCTGCCCGTCGGAAAGGAATCGGCCGCTGCTCGCTGAAAAGGGCCGATTGCTGCTTGTCTGAAAATTTCGGTGTGAACGGGTGCTCCTGAACGACTTCTGCTCGCCGTTCGGATCGAGGATGGCGCGACTTCAGGCTGCCGGGGAGGGATGACGAAGGGTCGGATGAACGGCCGGAAGCTGCTGCTCATCACGGCGGGCCGCTGTTGCTGTTCGTAGATGGAGTCGCGCGGCTACGGTGGATTGACGGAAGGGCTGAGATTGGCGATTGGAAACTGGGATCTGCAGCTGCTCGCGAGTTTGCCGGAGAAGAAAGACACGACGGCGTGCGGCGTCACTGGAGGAAATCGGCAGTCCTCGACAACTTTCGGTCGGAGCTCGTCTCTGCCGAGAAGAGAGTGAGGTGACGAGAAATTTTAAAGAAGAAGGAGATGAGGAGCGGCTGATGAAGAGAATTAGGGATGAGAATTTTCCAATGGCCGGCACTCGAGAAGTCAATAATAAAGGGCTGAAAATTTTTAACTCATTTGGGCCGAGGTGATTAATTCAGTTGGGCCAGAACTAAATACCAAAAAGGGCTAAGAGTGATTTAGCAAGATGGGCCAATAATATACCACTCAAAGTGATTTAGATCAAATATAAATTCTAATGACCGGATACAAAATCTCGAAAATGGGCCAAAACAGAATTAAAAACGGTTTTACGCGATCAAGTCAAAAATTACCGAAACAATTAAATTCTAATCAAATAAATCCTAATATTTCTGACATATATAAATAATAAATATAACACATAATAGTCATATATACACGACACATAGCAATTAAATAATAGGCAGATAAATGAGACGAACAATTAATATCATAATTGACAATTAATTAAAAACAAAGGCGAATAATCAATATAAGAAAATAAATAATAATATAAAAATTCAGAAATTCTATAAATCGAATGGGGCGTTACAGTTGTGTTATGGGCAGTGAAACACACTCAAAGGTATTAATTTGATATTTAAAATTCTCTCTCGTATAAACTTTATTTCCCTCTGTGAGCATCCTAGTAGTGTATTTTTGCCATTAATTTGTAGATGATGAAGGATAATATGATGAGATTAATATAGATTTTATATGAATGAAAAATAATTGTATATAATGAAGAGACTAAAGACAATTTATTTATAAAAAAGAAGACACGTGTGTATTTGTACTTTGATTTTCACATTTATATACTTCAAATAAAACATACATTTCTTTTTCTTGGGGTAGCATTGACAATTCAAATTTCTATTTAAATGTGATTGGAAAAGCTACATCATTATCAACTCCAATTTAACATAAGAAACTATATTTATGTCCTTAAAAGTAACATCTTTTGAGGATAGTATGGGCAATTTAAAATTTTTAAGAAATCACTCATCCTTTCGAAAGGTTACATATTTTTGTTGGCCTTGTAATTTTTTATTTTATTCTTTTTATATTAGGACATCATTAAGTTATTTTTAAAAAAAATATTAGAAGATCATTTGTTGCACATTTTATTTTGTTTATGTAAAGATTTGATTAATAAATTATTTAATTTAGTATACTAAATTTAATTGGTAAAAAATTCACCATTGTATGAATCGCATGTTGAATCAACTAGTATATTCGCATGTGCAATTAACTAGTATATTCAAAACAATAAATTGAATGAACGTGAGTTGGACAAAATACATAAGAAGAGTAGAAATATAAAGTTGAAAAACCAAGATATTGATAATGAGCCTATTGGTTAGAGTAATAGGTAATGACAGTGAGTTGGATAGAATACATAAGAAGAGTATGAATATAAAGTGGAAAAACCATGATATTGATAATGAGCCTATTGGTTAGAATAGGTAAGAAGAGTAGGAAATTGAACTGGGAAAGACAATAAACACGCGGTAAATAGCTGACTTGCAAGTCTTTATATTCTTACAAAAAAAAATGAAAACAAAAAAANAAAAAAGTCACCCTTTATTACAGTAAGAGGTGAAATGATTGAGTGTATTTGTGAAAGCAGTCAAGTACACATGCCTCGGCGGAACCCTAATCTGTGGCCGGCAACATCGTACACGACCTCGAATGTCTTTTGCTGAGTGTTGCCGAAAATAGCGAAATTATCGTCAGTGAAAGCAAGGCAGACAAACGATTCGTTGAAAACATAAACTGTTCCGGAAGCATCCAAATCGACTTTCACGTTATTCTGAAAGGTGAATGACACAGACGGGACAGGAGTTTTATTGCTGTTAGGAACGAAACAAGTGTCAAAGAATCCATCACCAAAGAAGTCCCCCTTGTATCCGTATTTAGTGCGCATGGCTTGCCTGAATTTGCTGCTCAACGCTTTATATACGTCCGACGGGAGACGGGAGATGACCGTTCCCGAGTCTACCAGGATAGGTATCGGCGGCATATATATATTGTTGGCAGGTAAGTTGCGTCCTTCCACGGCTATGGCGGTTATGTTGACGATGTAGGATGATGGGTGATCAATCAAAGGCGTGAATTTGGTGGTGTGATCGTAATCTTTTCCCAACAAGAGAAAGCCTTTGGCGGAGGTGGACGGGAGGCAGTAGGAGAAACATCCTCCGTACTTTTTAGCAGTTTGGGAGACCAAGGATATGGGTCCTTTGCCGAGGCCCACAAGTCCATTCTCGAGCCCAAAATTTCCCTGAGTGAATAGGCTACAGCCACACGCGAAATCTGGGAAAGCCTCGTTTGGTGCTATGGTAAGTTTGTCTTTGCCGAGGTATCCGGTGCTCACGGAGTCATCACCATATGTGATTGTGTAGGTGCATTTGTTGGTTATGGAACGACCAGGAATGCATGAAGCCGCCAAAGCAGAGCACTCAGAGGAATTCCAACTACTGTCCGAATACGAAGTGGACTTGTAGGGGTCGAATATCGGGCCTTGTTGTGTGTGGCAGGTCAGAGAGCACGGTTGGCATTGAAACCATGTCAGGTCGCTGCCGGTGTCGAGAATTAGAAAGAGTTTTCTTTCTGGTGTGCCGAGGCTCATGGTGACGATATAGTTGCCATCATGTAGGAAATGGCCCGAATAGACGGGCAAGTCTCGGCCTCGGCCTCGCTGTCGCTTCTGGATGAAGCTGTTAACCCTTGATTGGTCACCCAAGCGCGGTTGGGATGATTTTGTTTGATTCTTCGAGAGCAGCTCAGCAGCGCACGCGCCGTGCCTGTGGATCACTTCAGCTACTGCCGACGATTGTCTCTTCTTTAAACCTGCATATCCATAATGAATCAATTACTAATTTGTGCTAATTATTTGAATCAATTACAAAAAATGAGAATTAATGCGTAATTAATTCAGACAAGAAGAATTGGATTGGAAATAAATATGATGATGATACCTGGAGGGGGGGTCGTTTGGCAAACTGAGGTGGATAGATGTGCTGCGATGTCCAGAACATGAAATTCATTTTCTGAATCTGAAGCCGCCCAATTTTTCTTTGACCAACATGATGATAACAGTATTGTTAATAAAAGAGAAGAATAGAAAAGAAACTTCATGGAGGGCAAAATCGACTGTTGCAGAGTGGCTATAGGAGGAGGAGGAGTATGCAATCTCTTTCTTTCTTGTGCTACTTGGATGCATTAAGCCACGAGTAGCTGGCATTGACTTATATAGAAAATATTTTGAAAAAAGTATTTTTATTTTGTTTTTGTTTTAATGATGTTTACTATTAGAATACCTCGTCTATTACATGAAGCTTTTTAAGATGGGAAGTCGTATAATTAATGAGTATTATTTTAAATATAAATAGTATATATTAATTATTCAAAAATGTATTTGAAGATTATAACATTTTTTTATTATTTTTTATTTTTAAATATAAATTTCTTAATAAACGCCCGTGTAATACACGGGTATTGTATTAGTTTTAAAATAAAACTGGAGGAAAAATTTCATGCCTTACTATTTTTAGATTGGGAGTTAATTAAAAAATATTCAAACCAAATACGAAGCATAAAATTTTGCCATATAAGATACCGAAGCGTGTGAGCTTGCCACTTTATCTCTAACACATTTGAAAATTATGTATAGTGTGATATGACTTTAGGCTTGAAGTTTTGCTCGTGAATAAGTGAAAATATAAAATAAATAAATCAATAAATATTTCCTCTATATTGCGATATTGCAATATCAACCTTGTAAGTGTGAAGTATTTGCAAGTTAATCCTAGTATATGTTTTAATAATGCTGTGAAGTATTTCCTCTATGTTGTTCGATAAATAATTGATTCACGAACTAATTACTTAATTTATAAAATTGTGTGTTATCATTTTCCTTTGTTTATTTATTTGTTTTGTTACTTGAGTAATTTACATAGTGATTTGATAGATAGTTTAATATCTCCTTTAATGTCGCACTAGTACAATAACTGTGTACTATACGGGTACATGAAAAAATAATTTTAATAAAAGAAGTAAAAGAATTTAGTTATTGTGAGTATATACAAAATAAATAAATGGAAGTTTCATAAAACAAAAACTACTATACATTGGTATTTTATATTTATGGAAGTTTCATAAAACAAAAACTACTATACATTGGTATTTTATTTTAAATCTAAAAAATTTCTTTAGTTCTACTTAANTTGGAAAAATAAGATAAAGGATGATAATTAAGATAAGGGATGTATTTAGTTAAGATTTCATTAATTATATTATCCCTATAAATATAATATATGATTTTAATTCATCATTATTCATTACGCAAACAAAGACACGTACTAAAAAATGGAATAAAAATTATCCACTTGAAAAAATAAAAAAATATAATGAATGGGATAAATCCTTAGTAAAATAAAATGAGGAAATAAAGATTTGTGCGATAACAAATTTGGTTATGAAGGAGAGATTGATGAGAGACAATAATGTATGGTGAAAAACTTATTTATGGCACTTTCCAAGCCAATTTTATTTCTAAATTTTTTATCCGAACTTAAATACAAAGCATGATATTATGACATGTAGGATTTTTAAGCCGGCGAGTCTGCCACTCAGACTAACACGTTTTCAATCTGAGCTTAATGAAAATTATATGTTAATGCTTGGAAAACAACGACTCTTGATTCGGCATTCGTCTATGAAAAGAAGGGATAATCTCTATTATGACTTTTTGCAATGAATGTGCTACCACCTATATTGATATATTGCAATATCACTCTTGAAGTTATAAAAAGTTAATCCTTCGGCAATTGGTATGCACGGTTTAAGAAAAATAAAATAAAACATAAGTTGTAAATAAAATATAATTTGTAAAAGTTAATCCTATACTAATATAGGTATGCATTAAAAAAGTTAATCCTTCGGCAATTGGTATGCACGGTTTAAGAAAAATAAAATAAAATATAATTTGTAAAAGGTAATCCTATACTAATATAGGTATGCACGTGTTGCAATAAATAAATAAAAAAACAAATAAAACATTATGTAATTTTTATTTATTTACTTATTTTGCTTTGTCATGATATATTTATATTACTTTAAAGTTTTTAAAATTTTTATAATTTTTTGTTTATTTATTCGATATATAATGATTAAAGAACTCATATTATAATTTGTAAAATTGTATATTACGTATAATAATCCTCGAACTTATTTCGGGACATCATCATGACGCATCAGGCAGTGGCGGACACATAGTTTTTTATCAGCCAGGGCAATATGAATAAAAAAATGCTTATATTTTTTAAGTTCACTTAAGTTAAAAAAAAAAAAAATACAACTTTTCAGTCAATGACGGGAAGGTAATTGTCCACGACGCGATTTCATATTCTGAAAGCGATGCATTATAGCATCATTCTTAATGTAGCCTATATAGTACGGACATTTAAAATAAGCAACGGATACCTTGTAAGCAGATATGACACATAAGGAATTGTCTAGCACCCAACTATGGTGCATCTAGAGTTGACACCCGACTATGATGCATCTAGAGTTCTTTGCAGCCGTCTAATCGGCTATGCTATTCTCATTTTATGTCACGCAACCCCTCTCAGGTACTAACTAGCTTAAGACATATCTCATATAAATAAACAGCCATCTAATAGGCGCTCATAGCAAAGAACAACTATCTAATAGGCAAAACACAATAATTGTGTACATAATTACAAACAAAAATAACACAGTGATTATTAAGAATGATGTACTAGGTAAACTTCCCCACCTGACTTCTGGAATCTGCATCAGATGAGTTGTCGCTTATGTGGAAACTCGAGGGCTTGAATCCTCGGAATCGACATATAAATGAGTGATACTCGGATAAATATTCTAACAATATCTTGGTAAGCTAATTTACCAAATTGAAAGATTTCTAGCTTAAGGCTCACGACTTAACTTTTTCTCTTTCTTAGATGTTGGAACTCTCGACTCGGACTTCTCAAAAACTCGAAAACTACCATCCGAAACTCAATTCTAGAACTCGGCTCAAAATTCATAAAAAGGCTCGAATAATTTTTAAAAATTCTAAAAGTAGCTCGGTAATTTTAAAAACGTTTTGCCTTATTTTGAAATGGTTCAGTGTGGCTAAAATTGGTTCGGGTTCGGCTAAGCGCTCAATGGCTCGACAACGGCTGATACCGGTCTCTATCTGGTGTTGCTGTTTGGCCTTGCGCCTGCACGGAAGTGCATTCTGGCACTAGAAGCACGCACTTTACCGTTGGGGGTATGTTGGACACGACTTGCTGACCCTTAGTAAATTGAAGACAGTCTGGAGCTACGAGGCGCCCGCGTTCGGAAACAGAGAGCTGTGGCGCGACACAAGTCACTGGCGCAGGGTCTCGTGATTCTCAGGGTACTTGGTATGCGGCGCCTCTCAAACTAGCACGCGAGTCGCCTACGAGTCTTACGCGGACACTGACCGACAGCGACTGCAGTTGTTGTCATCTGGCACAACGACGTCCGTTGTCGACAACTCCCTTCTTATCCACAACAACTTAAGACCAGTCTAAAATGATATTTTTTTTAGGCTAGAATAATTTTTATAAAACCCATTTGTCTCAAAATAAATTTTAAGGCATTAGGATACCAATTTTTCTCAAGTATTTAACCCAAAATAACATAAGTCTAAAACTTAGAAAAATCTCGTCTTTTGAAAATAAATGGAGTCTCAACTTAGGCTATTTATCCCGGCTATCTCATACTTTGACAACATGAATTTTTATAGCCTCAAAACACATCAACATCAAGAGTCCAACATCAGCAGATTTCTCAAACAATTCTCATAACTCAAGGATTTAATCCAACTCAATACATCCCAATTTCGTGAACCTTAAACACACTTAAATTCTTCAAAATAATTCATAATAAATAAGAAGAGGGTATAGCCTTATACCTTCTTCTGGAATCAACTAATCGGGACCGAAAAAGATTAGTTTCGAATGGCTCTCGACTAGCTACATCAGCTCTAAACAGCTACTGCTATCATGTCCGGCCGGTGAAGAAACGAACAGAATTTGTTGCTATACGACAAAAGCCACAACCGCCGCTCACTGAAAAGGGGTATCGCGGTGATTTGCTACTCCATGCACTGGCCTAGAGAACGGCTGATGTTCGCTGAAAAGAAAAAACGGCAGCAGGGTGCTGCTGCTGCTCGAAAAAGAACTCGTCGGACAGTGGCTACTCGAAGTCAACGGAGAAACCCATTGGAATGGACCACCGTTTCCAGCCTCTCAGCGAACGGGAAGCTTCTCGACTTGGAGGGAGATGGCAGCGATGTGAGAGGGCTGAAACGGCTTCTAAAATAAATGTGATAAGTCTCCTCCTGGATCTGGAGTAGACCGGTTGAGATGAGATCTAATCTCAAATGATAAGTCTCCTCCTAGATTGGGAGTAGACCAGTTGAGATGAGCTCTGATCTGCCTGAACCGCCTTTAGATCACCATGAACACCTGCAAGAACTCAACGCCTGGGGGGGGGGGTTCCGGCATAGAACCTCTAATGCATAAGTCACTATCAGAAAAAGATGAAAGTGCTCTGATCAGAGAGAGCAGCAGCAGCAGGGTATGAAATGTGTAAGGAGTGAAAAAGTTAGGGTTTGGTGTTACCTCAGCTCTTTTATAGAGAAAAATACCTGCCTAGAATACCTAAAATGCCCCATGTCGACCGGCTTGGTTGCCCGATTTATTCATATCCTAATCACTTCTTACTCAAATCTGAGCCAGCTTAAGATTCCACCTTATCCTATTAAGGTTCCTTCTTATCCGTTAAGCCTATTGAGTTTCTAAAGTAACCTTAACCATAGCACACTTCGGGCCATGAGGTATAAGAAGCCGACCTCGAGTAACAGGATGTCGACTTGGAGTTAGCATATAAATGAAGTATAGCAAAGATTTACCGCACACCCTCGAACTGTTCCCGTCTTCTTGAAGCAGCGAGTCGACCTCAAGTCGGGGTGATGAAGTCGACCTTGAGTTATACAGTTAGGGAAGTCGACTTCGAGGTGTGGATGTCGACTTTATCTGTCATAATCATAACAGAAGTCGACCTCGAATTACGGAAGTTCTGAGGTCGACCTCGAGATGCTCATGGTGAGGGAAGCCATCATTGCTCTGTTCGTCCTTCTACTAACGTCAAGGCCTGAGATTAGAAC